TAACCCTGCATTAAGTAGTTCCCAGGCTCTTTGATATAACCCTTCCATCAACCATCTGTCAACTTTGATTGGATATGAAAGTAGTTCATCGTCTTCTAAGTTTGGAATATGCCTGTCAAGATATTCTAATTCAGAATGGAATTTTGTAACATCACCATCAGAACGTAACACCAACAGATATAAACATATGATCTTTGATTTGTTTTCAGAATTCGATAGCTTCTCATTCTTACAGAAATAGAAACTTCTTAATAAAGTGAAGTCATTTTCAAAGGCCTCATTTTTTGAAAGAAAGATATCTGTAAGAGCTCCAATCTCAAGGATTTTTCTGGTAATGTTTAAATCATTGATATATTGTTCGTTGTTGTTATTAAAATCAGGAATAAATATTTTGTTTTTAATCAATTCTAATTTTACAGATGGAATAATCCTCTCACAACTATCATAATCCTTAGATTCAAAAGCAGCATTTAAGCTTCTTACCAAATTTTCTAGAGATACCATTCTTAGATTACTTATGTTTAGATGACGGGTTTCTCTAATTATGATTTGTATATTTACGCTGTTATACCTTTTTAAATAGCTGGGTCGAATCTCCCCTTTGGTGGCAAATTTTTACTTATAATTTCTTAGAGCCATTTTAGCAAGTCTCGTCTTTCGCCTACTTATTTTTTTTTGGGGTCCTCTTGAACTTTCGCACGGAGCGAGTTCTGAGAATTCAGTTTAAAACAAACAAACTAATTAACCCTTGTGGTCTATTAGTACTTCATGAACCTTCTAACAATCACGTCAAAGTTATGATTTGTATGCAAAATAGTTATATTTTAACCTATATAGTGTATTATTTACTCGAACATTTGGACAGTGACCTTTACGCGTTCAATATTCCCCCTTGAAAGTTTTTTTATTCTTTTCTGTAATGTGATTATTCTTGCCCTGACTGATGCACTAGTCTTCAGATCATCCCTGCTAATGCTAACAACTGCCTCGTAGTCGTTTTTTTCCTTCCTTGCAGTAGCCACAGATTGATCCTTGTCCAACTCTTCGTCGATATTGTTGGATTGACGTACTTTTTTTGGGATTACTATAGGAATAACATTGAATTTGAATAAGTTGTCCCTAATGTTCCCACCTGGGTGAACACCACAAATGACATACATAAAAGTACCAATATATTTAGTCCACCATATTATCCTTTTGGCCATTCTTAAATTTTTTTTTGAATTCTCATCGTATTGATTTAATATTACATTTTCCATTGACTCTAAGAAATGTTCTTCTGTCTCTGGAATATTTCCTCCCCATCTATAGCATAATGCTATACCTATTAATGCTCTCATTTCATGAGAAATACCATTACAACCGGATATAATACCCGTAATTGCCACATGTAAGGCAGCTGTTGGTTGTAATTCCTTTGGATAAGATGCATGAATAAATGCCAGGTTGCATAACGTTGGTGCCACTCTTTTCCATACAATTTCTGGGATTGGATATTCCGCAGTATGTGGATTACGTGGAACTGCCGATAATAGTAATTTCAAATATTTGTTTGATAACAATGGAGCATACGGTTTTGACGCAATTATGATTGGATCTTGATTATGTATAGATGCAGGTAATTGAGTGTAAAGAAACCCTTCTCTAATACCACCTTCACTGAAATATATTGATTTCACCTTTGGGAGACTCTCTAAAAGTGCACTTGTCAATAGACCGACTGCAGGTAATTGAATGGATCTCTTTTCCGAAATTTTGAAAAACTTTTTAATTTTATGACAACTATTATCAAAATTTGGAATTTTCCCCTTCAAAAATAAATAATCTGAAATCGATTGAAAATTCTTGGAACTCGTACAAAATCCATTAATAATTGTCTGTATTGGATAGTCTCTGTCTTGGTTTATTAATAAATGGCCAATGCCTCTTAAACCACCACCTCTAGTAATTAATGTGAACCCGTCGTTTTCTTCTGCTTCTTCTATCATATCCTGTGGTATCTGAATGTCCTGAATGGCACGCATAAAGTCTGCTTTCAAATCATCAAATAATTTCAATTTGGATGCATCATCATCATCGATCGCTCTAACAAGTCTTGTAATAGTTCCTGACCCATAAGGTAAGAATGACACTTTCTCAGATTTGATGAATTCACCATTAGGTAAAGTTCTAATCCAAGAAATCTGACATGAACCACTCAATAAATCAAAATATATACCGTTTGTTTCATTATCTGCAGATGATGCTAATAAACCCAAAGTTGTCATTGTACCTTCTTCCTCTTGTGATAAAACTTTAACTTCCCAATCTGTCTCCTTTTCAATCTCCTGAAGTAATTCATCTTTATTTAGTGCAATTCTAGTGGCCTCTGTAGCAATAATCTTAACATTCTTATCGGGAACTCCAAAATCTTCACAAATCAATTTAAATCTTTTAATCGCACTACATATCTCCATAATAATATCTATTGGGATAGGAATTTGTTCCAAGGAATCAGCATGTGGAAATTGTAATTCATATAAAGATATACCTATACGATCTTTAAAGACACAGGGAGTTATTCTAGCATGATGCGCAGATATTGAAGAAATACTGAACCTTATACCATTAGACCCCATATCTACCAACCCACAAAGGTTTCTAGATATATTCTCACTCTCGCTAAGGTGGGACTCCATATCCACTACAGATATATTATTCGAACCTAAACCATCCATCTTATTTATTTACTTTTGAATAATAAACGATCTTGTACAGTTATTTTCTTTGTTGTATTTTAAATATAGTGAATATTCACCTAATTTTATTGAAAACGTTTCTGAACTGTCCAGTTTGTAAGTTTTTAAAAAAAAAAATCAATGCGATAATCAATCTGGGTAAATTTCTGAACTTTTGTTTATCAAATAAGCAACGTCTGATCGCCATGAATTTAAAGATCAATTGATCTGTAAGCCATTCCTATACGTATTACGAGATAAATGGAGAAGACTGAGTGATGAAATTGTTATTAAAGATATGAAAACTCCATGACTCTTGGAGTTACCCTCTCGGGTCTTCAAAAAATTCAATAAAAAAACGAAGAATAAATGTGAATATAAGCTGGGCGCTTAATTGAGTACTTCTTAACCACATCTCAGTTTATATCAAAACGTTTTTCCACTTGATGAAGGGTATCAAAACGAAGACAGTAAAGTTTGGCTAAGTTTTGATATAATGGAAGAGTGCATATTAGAAATACTACGGTTTACTTACATCGTTTTCCGGATATATTCAGACAGAATGTCATATAGCTAGGAAGTTTCACACGAGTCTTACTGAATATTTACTTCAGGGGGGATTAAATAATTCAGAATAACAACCGAAGATTCTAAACGTACGTTATAAGATATGAATGGTGAGAGATTTCAGTTCTAAATTGATAATTGAGCAAGATGTCATATTATACGAAACTAGTTTCCGGGTAATCTAAATGTGAACCTTTTTGTGCTATCTTCATTTTTAGTTTTTTGGTTGACCCGAGCAGAGGAGAGTAGAACAGGAGGAGAGTGTGCTTCACTCCTACAATTAATTTTCTCTTGTGTGAATAAAATTTGGTCTCTCGGATTCATTCTTTCCCATAGATTCCAAGGTTTTTCGTCTTTCTCGATTTTCTTCCATTTTTATTTTTATTTTCTTCAGGTAACAATCATCCATTATTTTGAACTAGTTGCCGATTGAGAAACTTAGACAATAATTCTGTGTTTTTTGTTAGTTTTTTTCCTGATTTCATCTCGTTACTAGTGCTGTTTGTTGTTCGTTGAGTTTTATTTTTTTTCTAGTTTAAGGACAAGTACACGTTAATAAGAGCCACCAAACTGTGATTTAGATATAAAGTAAACGTTTGTTTATCACTGAAGGGACTACAGATCACAAGGCCAAAGCAAGACATTCAGGACATATAGCAATAAAAATCAACAATGGTTGTTCTAGCTGCCTCAATTACTACGACTAGTGGTAAGCCTCTTTTATCTAGGCAATTCAAGGATCTATCCAAAGATCGTGTCTTAGAATTGTTATCCAATTTCCAAAACTTAGTGTCTAACATTTCTTCTGATCATACTTTTGTTGAGGATAGACACGTGAGATATGTTTACAAACCATTTGATGAATTTTATATTATCTTGATCACCAATCGTCAATCAAATATTATTCAAGATTTGACTACTTTGAATCTATTTTCCCAAACTATCACTACACATGTTAACAATTATGATGAATATGAAATCTATGAAAATGCTTTCGGAATCTTGAGTTCCTTCGATGAAATTATATGCATGGGTTATAAGGAGAACTTATCTGCCACTCAAGTTTCTAACTTTTTGTCTATGGAATCTCATGAGGAAAAGATTCAAGATATTATTGAGCGTAACAAAGAAATGGAGGCTACTGAAGAAAGAAAACGTCGTGCCAAAGAAATTGCAAGAAGAGAACAAGATAGAAAGAATGGTATTGTTGGACCAGATGGTATGACGCCAGAGATTGCTAAATTTTCCGGTAGTAATGATCCAAATGTTAAAAACGCATTCAACAGTTACTACACCCATGCTTCCGCCACGGCTTCTCAAGCTTATGCCAAAGAGTCCGAGCATTTGTATACTGTTCCTTCCAGATACGGTAATGGAACATCTTATAACACCAACAGGAAGAAGGAAGTTGAAGCAATGGGTCATTCCAAAGTGGCCGGTTCCAGTTCAAACTTCAAACCAGGCGGAAGCAAAGCTTCTTTCTTCAGCAATGAAGAAGAGTCAAAACCAACTAATAATGGTATACTGCTTTCAGTGAATGAAACAATAAATGCATCTTTCAATCGTGATGGTTCCATCGAATCATCTGAATTGAAAGGTGTCTTCGAGATTCGTGTCAACGATTCTTCTTACGCTGATTCGGTAATTAAACTGTCTGATTCTGTTGACGTTAAGGATCGTTCGCTCCAATTCAAAACACATCCAAACATTAACAAGGCTCAATTCTTAAATGAAAAGACTATCGCCTTAAAGGACAGCTCAAAATCATTCCCACACAACGATCAAAGTCTCGGTGTCCTAAGATGGAGAAAAGTCGGAAAGGCCGACGACACTTCTCTTGTACCATTAGAGTTAGCCACCTGGGTTACACCAAACTCAACAGGTTCATCGTTTGATGTTACTATTGAATTCGAAGTTAACCAAGATTTCCAAGATATTAAGATTGAAAACCTAGGGTTTTTCGTTCCTATTCCAACATCTTCTATTAAAATAAACGAAGATAACAACGATTTCGATGCATCGGTAGTGGATATTAATGATGAAGTTGGTATTGTTTTAAAAATCGGTTCCCCATTGGAATCAGGTCAAACTGGTTCAGTTAGTTTCACCATCGAGAGTGAGGCAGAAGAAGCATTATTCCCAATTGATACATCGTTCATTGTTAAGGATACTTCAATTAGCGGTGTTAACATAGAATACATTGCAAACCGTGAAGATACTGCTGATGTATACCCTTACGACCTAATAATGAGTCTCAGTAGCGATGAATACAATATTGTGTAAAAAAGTGATATATAAATGAACTAAATAATAAACAATGAAATCAAAAGAATAGATTAAAATCCATAGCTTTAGGATATTGCATCTTATCAAAAGAGTTCACGTCTAAATACAATTGTACCTCGAAATATGAAATCATTGCCTGTTATGTTAATTATTTCAGAATATGTGTATTCAGATATCGGCTGTCTGTATATTTAATTATTCAAATATCAGACATTAATAGATATTTCATTTGTTATATAGTAGAGGTAGATAATAAGTATAGAATATAATAATGAACAATTCATATATTATATTAAATCAGTGTGTATTTGTTGGTTTATAGGGCACCACCGTTGTTGATAGCCTCTATTTCTAATTCATCTATTGGTTTGTATTGATACTTCTTAGGTAAATCGAATATAGACTCCAATTCACCTACTTTTAAACCTCTTGGTGCAAAATTATATCTACTGTCAGAAAATGGAGTAGCAGAGTTTTTATTTATGTATGTCACTACTTTAAAAGGTAGCTGTTTGCTTAGGATATCATTGACGGATAAACATTCCTTAGACCCTGGAGCTATACCATTCATAGCACAAGGGTGTGGTTTTGTTTGCTTATAGTTGTGAGCCTTTAACATATCGACTAAAGCTTCTTTGTTGCCAACGAACTTAATTAATGGCTTATAAGAATGGGCTAATCTTACTTGTGTAGGTATCATTTCAACTTTAAAAGGTGGTTTAGTTAGAGTTTTCGAATGAATAGGTTTATCAAGATGGGATCGTGGAACCTCCTGTAGATGAATATTTGTGAGTTTGGCCTTAGGTAAAGGTTTGCTAAATAGCTGTTTAATTCGTGTTAAGATAGACACTTTTGCTTAATATGTATGACAAATGAAGATTATGCGTATATTGCCAAAGCTATTATTGTCAGGCAGAATTAGGATATATGTCTATATATTTCCAAGTGATTCACAACCAAATAAAGTCATGTCAAGACAACGATATGTTCTATATCTTTAAAATAAAGGCCGTCCCTTTGTTACCTTAGATAACGAACTAAAATGTAATCCGATCGCCCTAAACTGAGTCGGAGTTCGCCCTCCTCTCATGGGTGAGCCAATCAGAGATGGAACTCGTCTTTTTTTGCTGTTTTGGTGTGGAATTTCGGCCGAGAGGGTTAGGATTAGGGCTCTGGGAAGGTAGCCGAGGGTTTGAATCACGAAGTTGTGTCTCATCAATTCGACGAGTATTTGTTTTGATTAACAAGAATAAGAACTTCAGAAATTACGTTTTAGGTCTTCATTCATTGATGTCAGAACGAAGTTAGATTAGAATAGTTGTTGCAACTTATATATGCACAACAATAGAGTGGTGGGCGTTATTGGTGCTTAAGTGAACATTATCTTACGTTGTTCTTGTGTCAAAATCGGCCACGAAGTTGATGAATAATGGGTAAGCATCAGAATGACGTTGGCAAACAAATAAATACGAAATATGGGCCAGTTCATGATTCAATATTTAGACACCCAGGTATAGTTGCTGCTTATGTGCAGTTATTGATAAATATCATCATTGCATTATTAATATGTTATTTGTTGGTTCACGTTTTCTATATGTTAAAGAATGATGTTCAGACAAAGATAGATCAGATCATTAGAATAGAGATTAATAAAGTTAAATTGTGCGAGAAGCATTATTCTATGAATCAATGTGCTCCAGAGTTACGTGTACCTGCCCTTGAAGAAATCTGTTCAGAATGGTTCGCATGTATAAATGATGGTAAAATTGTCACTGATAATAGTTTCTATACTTTAAGATCTGCAAAATTGTGGATTCAGACAATAGCTGATATTATAAATACTTTTGTAGAAGAGATTAAGATAAAGGCCTTGGTAGTTATTATTACAACAATTCTGTTATCCATAATTACAATAAATTTGGTGTTCTCAAGACTAATTACTACCTATAGACAAGATTGAAAATTGTTTGGTACAAAGTAAAGCAAAATATATACTACAGTCGTCTTACCGCACACATGATCCCTAAATACCTGCATTTTTATATCATTATATACATAGTCATAATCATATCTATTAATTACAAGTTCTGCTGATGGAGTCTTCTCCTCCACTCTTTAAACTCGTTTGAAAGAACATTCCCACCATTGACTATCTGGTCATACTCATCATCTTCTGTTGCAATATCAATCAATTGTAATTCATGATCTTGAACTGTGAGTTTAAATGGTATTATGCTCTCTGGTGCTTCCTTTTGACTATATCGCGTCTGTATCGTCAATAACCATTCAGTTATCTTGCCATACCATCCTATTGCACAGGAACAGTTTTCTGCTAGTTGTGGATTGTATTTTCTAAGCATCGAGATGATGTTATCAGTAGAATACTCCTCGATGGATATTAATTTATAATCAGCATCTCTGAAACCGTATATTATCCTAGGTACCCCAACTAGGAAGCACTGTAACCAAGTTCGAAATAATTTATTAGCAAAATTATTGGCATCCCTCTCAGAACGTATATCTTTTGAGCACTTTAGTTCGACATAATGAGATATGTTTTTAATCTTGTTTTCTTCCTCTTTAAAATCAAATATGCCATCAACTTCTGCACCTAATACCATCCTACAATGCCCAATACCAGTTCCCACAACAGAAACAAATTCATCACCATTGTTGACTATTTTTGAAGGTCTAGATTCAATTTCATCCCTAGTAGACATATTCACTGGTTCCTCTAGAGTAGTTAATATTTCAAATTTGTATCCTGTAAATGTATTCAGATCGATAGTACCATTTTTATATTCATCCTTCTTCGGAATCTCTTTGATAAATATTTGGTCGTCAAAGATAACAAGTCTTAAATCCAATGGTTCCTGATATCGGCCACCACCATCAAAAAGTGCAGATATCAATTTCCTAAATATCCCTCTGAACGTAATTATGTTGACCTTAAGTTTTGAACACTTTTTCTCCTCAATATTTTGGATTGCCTTTAATAGTCCATGAATGGAACAAACGTCATCAATTTTAGAACGAAAATCCTGAAAACTTCCACGACCTGCAGCTAAACTAATTGGATCATCTAACTGATTGTCAGGAAAGTAGTAATATCTTAAATTTCTATCTGAACCTACCAGAATTTTGTTTTCTGATGTCCTAGAATAACACGCGATCTCCTTAGGTTTCAATATATTATGTATTTCTTCATTTCGTGAGAATGGAAGTCTCGATATTACAGGCATATTTGAAAAGAGTTAAATTGGTAGATGTTTACTAACGAGGGTGGTGTTGGAGATATGAGTTATTTAGTTTTCCAATAGGTCCTTGGTGTTTGATGATTTTATATTTGTTATTATTTGAAATGAAGAGGATAAAATATCCAGACCTAATATTCAACCCTAATATTGTATGTATACAAAACTAATCAATAGTAAATATTAAAAATCATCGATTCTTAGTTCACGATATTCATATTATTGCACGACAATGAAAAGTACATCTACTACTAACACACCTTACTCTATTTGGATAGATCTACTTATATTTATATCTACGTATGATAGGTATTTTCAATAATCACAAATATTTGATATCTATGTTGGACGATTATGAATAATATTATACCTAACAAGAATCTCACTCAGTGAAAATAATACACCCAATAAAATGACAATTATGAACCACCATGTAACTCTAGCCATATTCCTTTCTGCAACAGAATCAACACAAATATCAAAAAATTCTAAAAAGACTTTGCATCGATCATTGACAACTTGAACTCGTTTATCAATTTCCAAATATTCTCTCATTGCAACATACAGAGGGTGTAAACTTGGTTCGACAGACCAAAAGAAATCCGGTGTATCAAGAACACTAGAGGAAAGATTAACATCAACTCTTAATTTGAATAATTTACCAGATTTCTTCAGTAATTGCTCTCTTTTCAACCCAAGGGTACCATAAAGTGCTAACCTCTTTGGAAGTTTCGTGACTGCTGTTAAAATCGGTGATATTCTTGATTCAAACCTCGATAATTTTGATGATTGAGCAATTGCATATGAGAGAGTAAGTTTTATTATATGGTCACCAGATCGAAGAGTTACTACGTCATTGAAAATTCGGGGCCTCTCAGTCTCCATATCATACTCAAAATGAAATTCTTCTATTTCAATATCTTGTTCGTCCAAAGGTTTGTGGATGATCGTTTTGTTATCTGCAAAAGTAATGTCCCCGAGTATATTTTTCTCTTGAGTTTCTGTAAAATTCCAAAATACCACCACACCATAATGAAATATAAAAATTTCAGAGTGCTTCTTTTCTGCATGATTAATTAGTAATGAAGTAGATTTATCAGCATCATTGTCAGAAGTTATGGTACTGTAAGCCTCATTAGGCCTGTTAAGAATATTATTTGGTACATCTCTTTTAAATTTATCTGCAGTGGGCAAAATGTTATCAGATACCCCATTATCACCATTATTATGTATAGGTTTATTTGATTCATTAGGTAATCCTGTGTCGTCATCTTCCGATATAGCCCTTTCTTCAGCAAAAAACTGCGGTTCACTGGGATTGAATGCATCAGGATTTGTAGTAGTAGGTCCAGGTAAATGATCTGGTATAACTGTGGCAGGGTCATTCTTATTCTCTGGTACTGTCTGTGCAGTCTCTAGTTCATAATTATTATTCATATCCTCAACAGTTTCTACCCCCGAATAATATTCATAATGATGATCTCTCATCTCACTAGTTTCAATAAGCTTATCCATAATAGTCTTACCTCCAACAGTTCTCTTGGATATATTGGATTTGATTCTAAATCCATCTTTACCAGGTAAAAGGGGTAACACATAAGGAACGTAAAGACAATCATCATACAGTCTAGGTGATACTTCATGAGTCTTCTTTAAGAATTTTGACATCACTTTTAAATTAAACCCATCAGCAATATTATATGCGGTCAACCTGGGTAAATTCTGTTTCTGCTTGTTTTTGTATTTCAGTTTATCCATTGTGAGATTTCTTGTATCACTTTCCTGAATATTAGTTAAAGTATTTCGTGATACACTCCTACCCATACTATTAAACAGCACATTATCACGAAGAGAATTTTCTTCTGGGATTAATACCAATTTCTGGGAAATTTTGGACTTTCTGGTTGGTAAAGGGTTTATCATCTTTCTATAATTGGAAGATACACGTAACCTTTCATAGTTAGAAAATCTTTCCATTGCAGCAGATGACGATGACGAAGAAGTTCGTCGTTGTTCTGGCCGACCAGATGGGATATCTGAGCTTTGTGACAATATGTTATCCAGAGTAATTTCACTAAATTGACCCTTTGATTTCCTTCTAAGTTTCGATTTAGCGAAACCATTTTTTATTTGCTCGTGTCTGCCTTTAATATTTGGTCCGTATTGATTATTACGTACTTCGTTAAATGATCCATAGGTGTTACTAGTATTACTGTTATTGCTACTAGTATTATTGGTGTTTTGTCTTTTTAGTTGAACATGTGTATTTGTTAGACCCCAGGAACCACTAGTTGCAGCATGTCCAGCGAATGGTGCATGCACTCTATTCTTGGAATAACGCGAATCTGTTACGAGAATAGACGGCGATCTTCTTGTCATAGATATACTTGATTTTGTATCACTTCTCTGTATATGACCCTCATTATTATGTTGATCTCGTTCGTTATAACTCATTTGTTATAGTTGTAAATGACGTTATTACTTTAATTCATTCAATATGATCCACAAACGATATAATCATGAATTCTTTCACTTAAGTATTCATGTAATATGCTTAATCAATGTCAATTGTTGCTCATATATTGTTATGTACGATTTATGATGTTTCCGCTGGGTCAAAACCTTTGGAACGTGAAGTATAACGTCATTGCTTTAGTTAAAATTTAATTTTTAGATATTCAAAATCGTTGCGGTTCACGTGCCATTCTTGCTAGAATGGCCTCCGAGTGTCACATTTTGATGAAAGAGTTAATGATAAAGAAACAATCTCATGGATAGTGTGTTTCTTCTCCTTTACAATTGTATAGGTCATTTTATTTAACTTTAATAGCATGAACCTTGATCCGGAACAATGTATTAAAATATTTTTATTATGTTAAAGTATAAAAAAAATGCAATCTGTTATATCGTACAGTACATTATATATTTTATTTAAGGAATTGGGAAGGAGATAATGCTTTTCAGAGTTTTTTTAGATTGGTTGTTTTACTTGTACCATTAATGTTTCGAATTTCTCCTTTGTTTGAATATTGTTTAGTATCTCAGTAGTTTCTACCGTTTTTTTTTTTTAAATAATGACTTAACAGAATTAAAACCAAATACCATAAAAGATATTTTTAGTTTCCTGAGAAAACTTATTCTACAGTCTGATATATCATTATTACGACAATAGTTCTTCTGTTTTTTGGATTGTAAAAACCAACTCTGTATGTTTGATCTCTTCTATAGTGATTTTTATCAAGTCTTTGACTTCAAAAATATCTTAAAGTGTTTGCCTGATTTTGGCAAACATGGTTTTATCGCAAGTTAGCTTACTGACAAGTGAACTATTTAGGGTATCTAACCGTAATTATATATATGATTCCATCCCGGGTCATTGTTTGATATAACTCATGGTTAAGATTACTGCTAAATGGAGGAAGGTGAAACCATCCCGATGTTTTGATAATTCATCATGCCTATCACTAACAGCTCAAACGAATGACGAGTTTTTGTAAATTAATAGATAAACATATGCGAAGTCCATGGGTAAGAAATTTTCAAAATACCTTGAGAACCAACTGAAGAGTTGCATAAACGAATACTAAAATATTATTGTCTAAGACAGGTTATTTCTAAGACAATATAATAACTACGATAATGGAATAACGAATACTAAGCCTTTGACAATAATCAATCATAGATGAAAACGGGGCTATTGACAATTTCTATAATTCCCAATTTTATGGAAAGGGTTTAATTTCAATTTTTTTCTAAAGATAGTTTTGAAATAGGCTCTATAATTATCATTCAATTTTTTCTTTATTATCTGACTATACAACATTGTTATTTCATATTGAGAATATTTATACTGTAGTGAACTTTCTTCCATTATATTATAAAAATAGAACAATTCTCCAGCAACACCTTGTCAACATTATTTAACTGTAATATTCATGTTTCCCCACTTTCTGAACTAGCATCTGCATTTATTGATAACAATTATTCGATTTTTACATTTCAAAAAGGGCAAAAAACAATTCTATTTAGTGGGATATTTTATTACATTTTCAGTCACAAGAGCGTGGAAGGTTCCTCTATAAAGTCATTACTTCTATATAATATTTGGTTTTTCGTTTCTTATATGCATCATGCAAGTATATACTTATCTCAATTCTCCTTTGGAGCATCGATATCTTTGTCATCTGTCTCGTCATCGTCATCGTCATCAACGATGTTTTCTTCTTCTTCTTCTTCTTCTTTCGTCATTTCTCCAGCATTGTCGGTCACTAACTCAGCACCTTGCAAAAGGTCTACCAAATCATCTAATTCATCACTATGTATTAAATCAATTGGCCTTTCGTTATGATTGTTTCTTGCTCTTGGATCAGCACCAACCTCTATCAGATTCTGAACGATGAAAAGACCATGTTCTGGTTCATCCTGTGCATATTTCACAGCTGCATGCAAAGGAGTGTCACCATCAATTATATTATGAGGATCAATTTCAATTCCACCTTCTTGATCCAAGATTTTGTCGAGGACTTCCCAAGAACCGTATCTACAACTTAGATGTAAAGCTGTGTTACCAAAAGGATCTTTACTATGATTAACGACATCTGCAATCTTAGCAGGATCTTCTTCTAATTCCTTAAACACCGTCTCCAATAGATCTACGTTGTTCCTTCTTGCTGCGTCTAGCAGTTGTTCTCCTTGAGATGCGCCGTCTGCCTCCATTCTTGAGTTTATACTTTAATTTGTTTATCTACAATATTTGGAAAATAAAAAGGTCACTTTTTACTTAAAAGCAATGATACTCAACCTCTAGCAACAGGACTACTAAATAATTGAATCGAGTTTCACTTGGCCTTTTAATTATTGTAATCCTTTGCAAAAAAACCTGCCCCTTTTCTATTCCAATTATCTCAATTCCAAATTCTTTTGATATCGTTCGTTAATATTTATTTTTTTCATATAAGTGTCGTCCACTCAGACAACGCTGCACTGTTTTCGCGATTGACAGACTGAAATTTAGATTAATTTTTCAATGAAATAACAACAAACATCGAATAAAAAATGAACTGGAAGCAATGAATTTGGTGTTTCTAGCCCTGTGTATCTGATTAAGAGTCGATTACACACTCTAGTTTAATTATTACATATTGTCAGTTAGAAATTAAGCCCTCTGGTGTCTTTTACGCGATGAATTTTAATATAGATGAGCTGATTCTTGGTGCCCAATCTGCCGACAATATTCAAAGAGAAACTGCTGAAGCAAGACTACTGGAAGCCTGTGACGCTGATTCATCTGGTTTATTTAATGCATTGGTTACTGTAGCATTGGATACAGAACATCAATTGTCTGCAAGACAATTTTCATTATTATCCTTAAGGAAATTGATTACTCTATATTGGGGTCCTGGCTTTGAATCTTATAGAAATACATCTGTTGTGGATCAAACAACGAAAAAATCCTGTAGACAAGCATTGGTTCATTTATGTTTGGATGATCAAATTGATACAAAGATTAGAAACAGTGCCTCCTACTGCGTGGTACAAATCTCAGCCATAGACTTCCCAGATCAATGGCCTGAATTGTTACAAATTGTTTATGATGCTATCTCTAATCTTCATTCCTTAAATGCAATGGCATTACTCAATGAAATATATGACGATGTTATCTCCGAGGATATGTTCTTTGAAGGTGGAATTGGTTATGAGACGTTGTCGGTTATCTTTCAATTGTTGGTCAATGATAACGCAACTTTGGACGCTAGAATTGCAGCAATGAATCTGTTTCATTCAACACTTTTACAAATGTCAGCCATTGAATCACATTCCTCAGAAAAAAGAAAATTGTTTATTCAGGAATGTATACCACGAGCACTACAAACAATGGGTGTGTTATTAACTCAGACAACCGATTTGTCGAACACTAAACAAATTACTCTTGTAGGAAAAATATATGAGAATCTTGTTCTAATTAAAAACGAATTCCCTAAAAAATTATTTCCAAAGGAATACCAAATTTCGTTTAGGTCACAGGTATTTGTTGATTTGGAAAATTTGAAGAATCAGTACTCCAATTTTTTACAAACAGCAACTGTTTCAGATAATTCAGATACTTTGGACGTTATAAATGAATGCGGTATATTCATGATTGAATTTTTAACAAGTTTGTTGACTCTTCCAATTACCCAGGAAGAACAATCAAAACTAATTGAAATATCATTGGTGTTGTGCACTTTGGATTCCCACATTGTAGACAAATGGACTTCAGACTTTAACGATTTTGTCTCGAAAGAAACGGGCCTAGAAGCATCATTTTCTATTAGAGATCAAATGAATGAATATTTGGGCTCTTTATCTGAAGAACAATTGCTTATTCATTTTACACTTCTGATAGGAAGAATTGGGTCTCTTGTGGCGAATTATAATGATACACGGGATTCAAGATTACTCGAATCATCATTATATATTTTACAAAATTTGTTTTTGAATGATGATGAAATAGATATTTCTCAGACGGATGATATAATTAACATGATCAATACGGTTTTCAACCAAATAACAGATGATGAGTTACTTAAGAGTAGAATTATTCTTCTGATTCCTAAACTTTTAGAAAAATTTATGGACATTTTACCAAATGTCAAGAATTTAGTACAAACTTATCTTTTTAAGATTATCGAGTTGGTCTCAACAATAGATAACGTATTATTAAAATCAAGTGGTTTGATTTCATTTATGTCGTTTACCTACTTCGTTGAATTACCATCAGTTCTAGGGGATAAACGATGTGTTGCCATGCAGGACAGTGTATTACAAATTGTCAACAAAGTAATGGAAGATGCAGAAGACGATACATTTGGATTGCTGATCGAGACCATTAACCAGGTAATTTCGATTAATAATGAAGCGACTCCATCGAGTATTTTACAGCAACAATTTTCAATGGTAATGAATATTTCTAGTAAAGACCCAGGTAACATACAAATTGTTGTTGAGTCTCAAGATTGTCTGGAGAAATTATTGGATGGGATAGACACAACAACATATGAATCATATATTCAAATATGTATGTCATCATTTGTTAATATAATCAAGGGAAGTCAGGCAACCAGTTATAAATATTCACCATTATTATCTTTGATCCTTGAATTTATTACAGTATTTATGAAGAAAAAGCCTGATAATTTTCTATTACCATTCCCAATCGTGGATTATTTATTTGATCCATTGGTAGATGTGTTACGTACTTCTACTGAGGAAGAAACATTGCAATTGGCAACGGATGCATTCAGTTATATGATATACAATAGTGACCCTTCAGTGGTAACACCTCGTTTAGAAACCGTTGTTGGAGTCCTGGAGAGACTATTATCATTAGACGTGAGTGATAGTGCGGCTATGAATGTCGGTACTTTGATCGTCACGATTTTAACAAAATTTTCTACTGAAATACATGATTTAGTTCCTGTGATTCTTCAAGCCGCCGTTAGCAGGTTGATTAACTCTAAGAATATATCTACGCAACAAAACTTAATTTCATTACTATGTTTATTGACATGTTCAGATGTGAAACAGACATTAGATTTTCTGTTTCAATTACAAGAAGAAACTCAGGACCTCGCTCTGGTTTCAAAAGTATTAACAAAATGGTTTGAATCCTTTGAGGTTATAAGAGGTGAGAAGAAGATTAAAGAAAATATTGTTGCATTGAGTAAATTGTACATGTCATCAGACCCACGTCTATCTGATATGCAAGTAAATGGTGATTTGATCCCTTACCATGGTGATTTGATTATAACTAGATCCATGGCGAAGAGGATGCCAGATAGATATATGCAAGTGTCAGCATACGCCAAAATTGTCAAATTGTTCGTCACAGAATTAGGTTTCCAGACAAGACAACCGACCAATCAAGAAAGTATTGACTCTACGATAGGCATTACTGGTTCAGCTAGCAACCATACACACACTCACGAAGAGGTTGCTGCTGACACTAATGATGACGATGATGACGATGACGGATGGGAAGACGTTGACGATGCCTTGAATTACGATAAATTGAAAGAGTATATTGAAGATGAGGAAGAAGATCCAGCAGAGTATGGTGAAGATGACACGAAGGAGATCACTGGTTTAGGTAATATCCAACAAAACATCACCGAATTACTGATTGATTCCCTGAGACAATTTGCAACAACAGACGCCAATAATTTTGGTACCATCTATAGCACTTTATCGGAGCAAGACAAGGCCACTGTCACTCAACAACTGATTTAGATGACATTAAACAACAAGTGCAGTGCCAAACTCATGTTGTTAGATCATCTACCTCGGCGTCTCGTTTGGTACGTTTCCATTCCTTATGAAAATAGTATTAATTAGTCCTCTTTATTATTTTTGTATGGTCTCTTACGATGGATCGATTGTCCAATAACATTTTTCCGTCCGAGCGACAGTCACCTTATTTTATGTATTTCTGGAGTCAAAATAGTAATAACGATTTGATTAATTAATTAATCGATGAAGTATATAAATAAAGACATATACATATCTGTATTTGATTTGGTAATTGAAGGATTACAAACATTTGGGATTTTTCTTCTAGCCGATTCATTTCTTTCTGGTACTATTTATAAATTCTGTGTTGAATAATGACCTCATATGAATGCTTGTTACCTGTTAATGGAGGGTGGAAGAACGATGTCACCAATTGGCTTTCTGAAGATGTCCCATCTTTCGATTTTGGAGGATATGTGGTAGGGACCGACCAAAAGACTTCTACGCTGTTGATGAAATCGAATGGTGTGCTAAGTGGTGTTCCATTTGCTACAGAAGTCTTTCGACAATGCAATTTGGCCGTTGAGTGGCATTTCCAAGAAGGTACATATATTGATGTTTCGAAATCAAATAACTGTAAGGTTTCAGTTGCTACTGTCTCAGGTAAGGCAAAAGATATTCTCCTAGCCGAAAGAACCTCTCTAAATATTTTGAGTAGAGCCTCCGGTATTGCATCTGCATCTAGTAAGATTATTGGATTGGCTCGTAAAAGTGGTTACACTGGGATCATTGCTGGTACAAGAAAGACTACACCTGGTTTACGTAGATTAGAAAAATATTCTATGCTGATAGGTGGTTGTGATTCCCATCGTTACGATTTGTCCTCGATGGTGATGTTAAAGGATAACCATATTTGGTCTCGCGGTTCTATTACAAACGCTGTCATTGATGCAAGAAGGGTCTGTGGGTTTGCCGTTAAGATTGAAGTAGAGTGTCAATCGGAAACTGAGGCAGATGAGGCCATCACTGCAGGTGCAGATATTATTATGTTGGATAACTTTGAACATGATGATTTGAAACTATGCGCAAAATCTTTGAAACAGAAATGGGTGGGTAGGAAACATTTCATGTTAGAATGTTCTGGTGGTTTGACTTTGGAAAATATTGACAGTTTCTTATGCAGTGACATCGATATCTACAGTACTAGTTCAATTCATCAAGGTGTCTCAGTTGTCGATTTTTCATTAAAACTAGATCATTGATACGCACTCAACCAATGACATGTACAAGTTTGATAACTGTACTTATCTTCTCATATCTATCTTTTCTTTGGAAATTGTTTTGTAGATTAAATATTTATTATTTTATATAAACATTCCTACGCGATAAAAGTTAATTAAGATGCAAATTATAAAGATAAACAATTGAAATTTTTTGGTTTAAGTATAACAATAAAAAGGGTATTTAAAGTATACAGTTAAGCAGTGTAGTGTGAATTATGGAAATTACTTCACCAAATAGGTCCGACGGGTCACTGGAACCTTCGGAATCTGTCATTCTTACACCATTTAAAGAGAGAGCCCTTGAGGAGCAACGAATAAGAGATAATTTAATACTGTCATTGACCCCAGGTTTAAAGCGACAATCTGAAGTACAGGCAAGTGTGGCTCCATTAAATAATGATATAGTGGAGATACAATCATATTTACGAGACCTGAGTAGTGCGTTAGCCTCGAGAGGAGGAGGGAAGAATTTAACTTCGCAATTGTTATCGCATACTGTAGGTCAGGATTCATCAGCCTCATTTAATAATAATCATGGTAATGATAACAACCCCGAATTATTTAATACAGAAATTCAGGATTCCTCGTTTAATATTAGAGTAAATACGTTTAATAATGCTGATGATTCATTATTGGGGCAAGAAATCCGTGAATTGAATGAGTTGACACAAGAAACACCTTCAGACGAGCCAGTACCTCAATCCAGGTTAGACACTGATTACGTTGGACATAATGTTATTGAATCTCCATCTAATGGAAATAATACCAAAAGTATAGAGGTTGAGATTGAACAAGATAACAGTCCAATGACTTTATCTCAACAGATCTTATCTAGAATACCGAAACAAAGATCAGGTGCCAAGATACGAAAACTTGAACCAGTTCGTATAGGTGGTATTATGGCACCAAGCACCACAAATAACATTGATTTACGAAAGGATACTGTGAAGAACCCATTTGTTACTGAGTCTCACCCTCGATTGGAGCCTGAACCTGAACTGGACCCTATTCCTTTCAATGATAAGGATAAACTAGAGACATTTGATATAGATATGGAACCCAGCTTACCCCATATACCTGAGAGTCCAGAATCAGATACCCATAAAAACTACATTTCAAATCCTATCTCAAAGTATGAAGAATCACCTCAGAGGGAATTTAATATCCCAGATAGTCCTCATTTTGAGAATAACGATGTATTTGAAGAACCTACAATTCAAGCTGATATCAAGCCCATTGGTATAAGACAATTACATGATTTATTTGACAATTTTTTGATCTTGAGCAATATCAAGCTTAAAAACAAATCTTGGAAGGCCCTTCAGGAGGCATCATCACAACTTCTGAAACAATTCACTACCAATCTTGATAACGGTAACGGTCTAATTGTTCCTAAACGAACCAAAATAATTGATATGTTACAGAAATATGACGTAGTTTCATTGAATGCATCAGAGAGTGAAATATATCGTTTGTGCTCACCTTATTTGACTATTGAAGAGATGAATGAGTTGGAAATGGAATGGTTTGGTATGGTTGACTCATTAAGATAATATTATTTAACTTGGGGATTATATTGGGAATATATAAACATTGATATATACATATATATGGACAGTTTTTATACAGGTCTAAAAAAGAATTAATTCATCGTGAGAGAGTACGCGTGTTTTATTTTAAATACCCATCTATTCTCATTTGCATGATAAGGTTTTCCACATATTGATAAATTCCAAACGATATACCTCCTGATACACCTACTTTAAATAATCTAGGTACAGAACCTTTCCAAAGAGAGATCCATCCTTCATTGATAAAAATTTGATAACAACAATTTAAAGAATTCTTATATTGCTTCCAAGCATCTTTGCTTTGCATTTTAGTCTTTATGACATCAAATGGTTGTGTTAAGGACACTACAGCGATTGAAGTGGTTGCACCAAGGATAAATGCAATTGTTTCATTAAGTGGTTCTCCAGGATTCACTAATTGTTTTTTCAGAGATGTATAGACTGTAAATCTAACCATAGAATTACCAATTTGTCTCAATATTGTTGGCATACCACCTTGAACAAATCCACCTAGACCTCTTGTTCTATAGGTCTCAACTATTGTATTAAACATTCCTACGGAAGGATTCTTCTCATATTGTAAGTATGCCTGGTACCTTGGATTCATAGCTTCTGCAGAGGTAACCTGGGATATTTTTTTGTGAAAAGTTTTCCCTTTTGTAACTGTCTCATTGGTAATTGTCTTTTCCATAGTCAAATTGTTTTGTTTTCTTTTAATTGATTCAATTTTATCATTACGATCATTTAATATCATTGAATTTTCTATCATCCTAGTCTTTATATTTTCAAAAGGTATAATCCATAGACTCTCAACTGAGCCAGTGATGATTCCAGCCACGGCCATTTGCCAACCAGCTAATTGAGTCTCTGGTGTGGCATCTGGTCCCTTCATCAGTTGACAAACTCGTTCAAATGTACCAAACCTTGCGCCAGTCTTCAGTATGGCACCAATATTAAGGATAGAACAACCAACAAAATATGTTTTTACAGGTTGAATAGCCACCGTTTGCTTTATCCCTGGTATGGTCTTCCTCAGTTGGGATACTGTCTTTATATATTCAAACGGTTGAGTTAGAGTAGTCTTGAATACTGCCGTTGCACTTCCAGCAACGACTTGAGTCAGAACATCATCTCTGTTATTCATAGTGAGGATACTCCGTTACTTATATATATATATTTGTTGCTTCTCTTTGCTTTGTCCCTTTGTTCGTTTTGTATGGTTATTGCAAAGGGATATGGTAAATATTAATAGCGATGGTTAATTTGTTGTTTGGTCCGCAGTGCAATGACGAGCTTATGAAGACAGCTTTACAGAGATTAAAGATATATCGCTGAGGGATCATTCTAACAAAGTTTAAAATGGTTGTTACAAGATGCTGAAATGTTACGATCTTGGCAATTGTACTGTCAATTTAATCGAGACATATTCCATATTGTTTTTGTTGTTTACTAAAATGTATGTAGTTCTACCTTTCATGAGAAATATCAAAATCAATACAAAACATAAATTTGCAAAAATCGTAAATTCAATAAAACATCGTCCAGTGAACTAGAAACTACCAATAAGAGTACTTTAACACTGCAATTAACTTACCCACTCAGGCGAGGCCATTACTATTGCAATTACACATCTAGCTTACATTACTACTGTCACAACCACTTCTTAACAGAATTGAATTGCTTGACAAACTACTAACGTCCAAACCTCAAGAGCGAAACAAAGAGTACAAAGATCAAACTTACATTCAAGATATATTATAACCAGAAATAATCAGTACATATTCAACCTAACTATCTCTTAAAGTATTACTCATCCCATTCTCTTGAATTTCATGACGCTGTTGAAAGCAACGACCGGATGACACATTCGTCCCAAGTGAGCCCTACGAGTTGTGCTGACGACGCCCAGCAAAAGACAGCACCGCAGCTTTGACACATTTTCTGAGGCAGTGATGAGAGTAGCAGTAGCAGCAGCAACAACCCAACAACTCTCAATACTTTGACCTGTTCTTGCAGTTGATTCGTGATGGTCGCTAACAAAGAAACGAATTTTTTTTTCAGTTTTTTGGAAAATTCCAAATTTATTTCTGTTAGGGCTGCGATCTGCAACAGATTTAAAAACAAACTCCCATTTTACACGCACACACATATATATACTGGAACAAAGGACAGAACAAAGGATCTATTACTCCCCAGTGCGTACACATCCTCATTACTCTACCATCTGGATGTTTGTAAACTTGATTAACAAGTTAATTTCTACATCTGCTAAGAAACCACCGCAATCAATCGCTCGCACAGTTTCCACTACCACAACAATGTCTCCTGCTACCTTACAACCAATCTTTGACAAGTTGTTCCCTAAGGTTGAAGAGCTGAAACCTGATTTCATCAATGTATTGAAACAAGCCGTCGAGATCCCTGCAGTTTCTGGTGACGAATCTCTAAGACCTATGGTGGTCAAGAAGGCCAAGTTTTTAGCCTCTCAATTAGAATCCCTAGGGTTCCACGACATTCAATTGAAAGAGTTAGGTACTCAACCTCCTCCAGTCAATAACACCCATTTGCAACTACCTCCAGTAGTATTATCTCGTTATGGGTCTGACCCAGCTAAAAAAACCGTACTAGTTTATGGTCATTATGACGTTCAACCTGCTCAACGTGAAGACGGTTGGGATACTGAACCATTTGAATTGGTTGTAGATGAAGCTACTCAAACCTTGAGGGGTAGAGGTTCCACTGATGATACTGGTCCATTGACTGGTTGGTTACATGTTGTGAGAGCCCACAAGGAGGCCGGCATTGATTTCCCAGTTAATTTAATCACTTGTTTTGAAGGGATGGAAGAATCTGGTTCCTTAGGCTTAGAAGAATTGATCGCTAAGGAGGCTTCTAACTACTTCAAAGGTGTCGATGCCGTATGTATCAGTGATAACTATTGGTTAGGTACTAAGAAACCAGTGTTGACTTACGGTCTAAGAGGTTGTAACTACTATCAAGTCACCGTCTCTGGTCCAAAGGCAGATTTACATTCTGGTGTTTTTGGTGGTATTATTGCCGAACCAATGGTTGACTTAGTACAAGTCCTATCTGGTCTAGTAGACTCTAAGGGTAAGATTTTAATCGATGGTATCGATGAAATGGTAGCTCCAGTGACCGAAAAGGAGAAAGAAATCTATGAAAAGATCGACTTCTCTCTTGAGGAATTGAATGAAGCAAGTGGTTCAAACACTGCCCTATACACATCCAAGGAAGACATTTTGATGCATAGATGGAGATACCCATCCCTATCCGTCCATGGTGTTGAAGGTGCATTCTACGGTCAAGGCGCAAAGACTGTAATCCCTGCTAAAGTCAGTGGTAAATTCTCTATTAGAACTGTTCCAGATATGGATTCTGAAAAATTGACTAAATTAGTTGTTGACCATTGTAACAAGAGTTTTGCTAAGTTGGGCTCACCAAACACTTGTCATGCTGAACTGATTCACGATGGTGCTTACTGGGTCTCTGACCCATTCAATGCCCAATTCAGTGCCGCAGCTGAAGCTACAAAGGTTGTATACGGTGTCGAACCCGATTTAACTAGAGAAGGTGGATCAATTCCAATCACTTTGACCTTTGAACAAGAATTGAAGACTTCTGTCTTGCTATTGCCTATGGGTCGTGGTGATGATGGTGCTCATTCCATTAACGAAAAATTGGATATTAGTAACTTCATCAACGGTATCAAACTAATGGGTGCTTACTTACATTTTTATGCTCAATCTCCTGAGAACTAAGTTCCTGAACAAAATAGTATATAATATATATTTATACCTATGTATCTATTTATCTAGCTTTTTGCGTTATGGTTAACATTTTCAACTCTCTTTTGTTTAGAAAAGTATTTTGATAATCTTTTATAAAATCGCATCTCTACGATACATAAATTGGAACATAATTCATATGTAGAGCATGAACGAGAAAACCACACAAACTCACCAATTCACACATTGAATGAAATGGGTCGTGATAAGATATTGATAGCATACAATACTGATAATGAATTTACCCATTATGATACTATCAAAAAGATATTCGGGAAGAGTCTCGATGCAGTAGAACATACACCAAATGATTCAATAGTGAAAGGATTACGATGGAGGACAAAATACTATTCTACAGACTTCGACTTATATATAGACCAATACACATCCCTGGATCAATGGTTGGAAGACCTGAGAGACCCAGAATGTGATGTTCTACGGGAGGCATTAGCTGGGTTAATTATTATTGATGATATAGATAAGACGCAAGTGTCCCTTTTGAGTACAAAAGGGAGCCCAATAGTACACCAAGATTCATTTTTAGTCTGGTGTGATACAACAGGTGAACTTTCCGATGATGAAACTGAAAACATGAATGTTGAGATAGCTGCAGTTGGTGGGTCTCTAGAAATCATACGATTGATAAGTGGCGAAAAGAACGAATTTAATGATACTGTTGGTGTAGAAAGAGTAAAAGAAATTATAGATACATACCCATGGACTAATATGGTTAAACAACTACTAATAAATACCCAAAATGCGCCTAACAAACCATCAGATAGAGATAATTTAGATTCAATAGTACAAAAACTTACAGATGCAAGATCGCATTATCAATCATTGGATAAGGACGACGACGAAACAGACTCAAATTCATTTGCTAATGAAATTGCGAAAGAGGTTTCAGAAAGACTTAGTTTTTAGTATATATACACATATATATACTCCCATAAATATATACAACTTTTCTCTCTTTTATTTAACTTCTAGCAATGTATTTTCTGTAACAGGTTAATGCAAAGGGGAAATAGATGATCATAATGAATTTATTGAACTGATCCAGATATGCAGTTGTATGGAAGTTAGGAAATTTTTGATTGAGTAAAAGTAATACAAACTCACTGCAATATAACATTGGTAAGGCGATGAACATGTTTAATTTCATCAATAAGGTTTTCCTTTTGTAATTTGGTGCTTTTTTAAATATCTGAGTACCATGACAATAAGCCTCACTTAGGGCTACCCCAACAATAAATGTCGAATAACTAATATTCTTTAATACTAATGCATGCTCATAATCATCATGGTGATGTATTATAAGAACCATATATAAGAAATTCAAATCCTTATATATCGTTCTCTTTCTGCAGGCACCTGTCAACCCACGAAACTTTAACAACCATATTATTTCAATTATTGAAGAAAAGAACAATAGATAAATCAAAAATTCATGTATACCACCTGGCAAAAACTTCACTCCAACCAATGGGAATAAAATAATCCATCTAGCGAGTAGTGCCACATATAGGAAACTAGTAGACAGTTGATAGTATTGGTATAATTTATGTGTTAATTTCCAGGCCATCTTCAAAATTTGATACAAACAATTCCAAAAAAACAGAAATGCTTAGTTTAATTGAACTAACAAATAAAACCAGGACTTAATGACACTGACAATCAAAATATAGCTACCACTCTTGTATCCCTTGTCTTCACCTTATGATCCCTTCTTCTCCCACGTATATATCTTCTTTAACACTAAAATGGGAGACATCGCCAGCATCACGAAAATTTGACGTGTTCTGAAATTTTTCTACTTCTTTCCATACAAAGAGAGAGAGAGAAAGAGAGAGAGAGAAAGAGAGAGAGAGAGAGAGAATCATTTGATTAATAATCATAATAAAATGAACCATATTGCAACACCTATTCAAGTAATATATCAGTTCTGCTTCACTTATACACTAATTAATAACACTTGATGAACGCTAACGGTATTAGGATTGCATTGGCTGTTGCAGCATTGGGTTCAGTGGCATATGCTTTCACTGCTGATGAAGTTGAAATATTTCAATTACATCAGGAATTACAAGAAAAATATGGTGATAAGATCAACTTTTACAAATTGTTGAAATTACCTAATGGCCAGGGATCAACTTCTAAGGAAATCACCAAAAATCTGAGAAAACTATCCAGAAAATATCATCCTGATAAAAATAAGAAGTATAAGACGTTATATTCCCGTTTAAATTTGGCTACGCAGATCCTATCTAACGATGACACAAGAAAGACTTATGATTATTATTTAAAGAATGGGTTCCCTGACTACAATTTTAAGAAGGGTGGGTTCTTTTTTAAAAGAGTTCAACCTCAAACTTGGTTTATTCTAAGTTTCATATTTCTTGCTGCCAGCTTTATTCATTATGTAATTTTAAAAATCCAATATAAGGCTCAAGTGAAAAGAATCGAATCTTTTATCCAGCAATGTAAAGAACAAGATACCAGTAATGGTCTTGGTGAAACTAAATTGACCTTCAAACAACACGAAGAAGACGAAGGTAAAAATCTTCATATCAAATTTGGTTCCGTCTACCTAATGGAAGATGATGAAACCGAGTCATTAATTACAGCCGATGATATCCCAATTCCCTCTATTACGGACACAATTTTGTTTAAAATGCCAAAGGGTCTATGGAATGCTTCTCTTGGTAGAATTTTAAATAAGACATCAAATGACAATGACAATACCAAAACCAGCGGTACAAAATTGGGATCCAAAGGGAATAAGAAAAATTAAATAAAATGTATAGTATTAATTACAGCTTCTTTATAGTCTAATTACATAAAGACGGATATTAAATGTAAATAGTCCAACCACATATATAATGTGCCGAGATCACTGTCTCTCGAGAATGCATCTATATGTTGTTAATAATAATAATATATGCAGGGGAATTCGTTTTATTTCCATTTTCCGCCAAAATTTTGACGTTTCTTGATTCATCCAGTTGTTGCTGGGGGTGGCCCAAGTATTATAACTCCATTTTTCTCATTCTTTTCGTCTACATCTGCACGAGATCTTGAGATCAACATCTGCTTTAATTTGAAATGAAGATCGGATTCTGTGGATAATTGTTCTTCTAGAGATTCGACGTTTACCAATCCACCACCCATATTTTCATCACCATTAATTCCATTACCATTATCATCTTCTCCTTCAGATTTGGCAGGATCATCATCTCCATTATAAGAATTTGGTAATTGTGGAATAATATTACCATTTCCATCCTCAACATATGTACCTCCACCTAGAATCTTAGAGTACATCATTCTTGTATCATTCAGAACCTCTTCCGAGTAATATTGCCAATCTTCATCTTGTAAACATTTAAAAATATCAGGTGATATCAATTCTACTTTGTATAATTTAGAAAATTTCACGACCTCTTCAGCGATTAATACTAAATGACCCATAAACCCTAAATTCATATTTTTTGTATCATAAAATCTATAAGAATTCTGATAACCTCTAAGTATAAAATCTGTAGTAATCTTAAAATTTGATATATCTAATTGATCGTCACTTGTTTGTTTTGGTTCCATATTATTAAATTGTTTAGCGCCTTTAATATCAAATAGTGAATAAACTAAGAAAGAATTGTAAGAAAAATCCATTCTTCCATTAAATATTTGTTGAATAATATCAAAAATTACGTTATGCCAAAAGTTATTCCATGGATATTTTAAGAAAAGAAGTAAAATTCTTGGGATAATATAATTATCATATAAGGATATTTTATAATAATCCCCAATCGTAGGAGATTTTCTCAATTTTTCATTTTGAGTATCCTTAACATATGGTATATCAAAAGATTCATCTACTTCTTCTCCATCATCATCATCGTTTTTGTTTAAGAAATTTTCTAGTTGTTGTTCTTTCGTAGTCTCGGATGATTGTGATGTTGTCGGTATACCATTTGTTTCATTATTATCGTTACTGTTATTATTGTTATAATTATAATTATCATTGATGGCATTGTCATTTTCATTACTAACAATGACATCATCGGTATCATCCTCATTAATCGAGAGTCTATGTAACGTTGTAACCATATGAGGGTTTGGATTAGTAACAACATCACCTTGAAGAAAAAGTTCTCTATATTGATCTCTCTTTGAAGCTATTCTTTCAGCTCTCATTGAATTCATCAGTCCCATATTAGAACAATGTAATAATTCTGCAATTAGTTCCACAATTTTGAACCTTTCAAATCCTAATGGTTTAAATGTTTCCCCTAATTGATTCTTTCGCGTTGGTAAAGAATTATCTAGCTCAATATCCAATATAATCTGGAACAATTCAGGCAAACATCGAGTGAATCGTTTTAACAAATAACCCAAATATATCGGATCCCTATCGGTCGGTGGATTTTCTCTTAAAGTAGTAGTCAATAGATTTATTTGGTCATAATCTGAATTATTTTTCCTTATCAATTCTATTACAACAGACACAGCAATATTTAATGCTGTTCCACGTTCCCGTATCATTATTTTGGTTAACATATCAATGGCTTGAGGTGACGCTAATTCACGAGTTAAATCATTGGGACCCACTGAGACATCATCCAATGGAGCGTTTGCAGAGACCGCAATGATGGCCTTTAAGAAATCTCCCACATATGCTTGAACATCACTACCATACTGACTATTATTAAAGAATTGTAACAATTTAGGGATCATTTGTTGTTTTCTCAATAATGTGATGATTCCTGTTGGGGAATCTATTCTATCTGATCCAATCAATTTAAGTAAAAAATCCATCACCATAGATATATCTATGTGGCTCAACACGTCATCTACTAAAGTATCATGTGTCAGAATAAATTGTAAGTAATCATCTTGTTTGGAAAATAATAGATTTTGGTTAATCTTAATGAATATCGAAACAATTGGAGATTTTTCAGAATTAAAATTTGGATGGGTCAATAAAGACCAAAGTTTATCTAAGTACGGTTTATGTTTCATTAATGTCTCTGTAATCAACCAAATATCAGATGAAAACATTTCTGATAAAATAGTGGCTCTACGTAGAAATTTAGTGCTTTGTGATTCTTCTTCATTTTTATCTCTCTCACCAACAAAAAATTGATCATCCTTTGGGAGCAACGATAAATCTTTATCATCAGGATCAATCGAATCACAGCAAATCAATAATTGATCAATTAAATATTGCAGATTGGCAGTTTTAGATTGTTTGTTATCATAAAATATTCCATAACATAAGAAATCCAGCAATTTATTGTTTTGTCTGTTCAACTCATTAAGTAATTCAGGATCTATCAATATTTTCTCTATGAATTTTGAATCTAAATCATGAACCCCATAAACAGGAGCGTTCCCTTTCTCCTTACTGTCATCATCTTTCTCCTTAATTTCATCATCTTGTTCCCCTGTTCTATCCCTCTTCAAGGGAGTTCTATTAGTTGCAGATATCTCGTGTGCAATCATCGGTTCATTCTCATGAATCGTATTGAGCAAAGTGCTCGAATCGTTATTCTCGTTGTAGTCATCATTATTTTCATCATCATCATCACTGCCGGTGTTCCTACGTTTTATAGATGGAGGTAACTGACCTTCAGGTAATTGTAGATGCTCGAGGACATGGAAGTACTCATCCAGAGTCTTACTTATCAGCGACGATCCTATAGTAGCACCGCTGCTATTCTGTCCAAAAGGCCATGCGGACATGCTGCGGTGTATACAAGTGGGTTGAATATAGTTTGTAGTGTTATATATAATCGACCAATAAAATGTGTATAACTTTTCAATAGAACTAACGATGTCAGTGTATATATATCTCTATTAACTGTAAAATGCACCACAACGGTCTGATTATTTCCTAATTTTACCGTCTCTATCTCAATCTCTAACTCTTACTGGATGGGGGGGTCTCTGTCTATTGTTGTTATCCATTTTGCTCCAGTTCCCGTTCGCCGCTCTCATCGACGACTGTTTTGGTCACTGTGTACGACTTACTAAGAGAATATGGTAATCTATAAAGGTTCTTCATGCTACAGTAACCTGATACGGTGAGGTTACGTTACTAATTGCATCGAAACCCCTATTAAAGCACCTTAGCAAGTAATTACTTATACTACAAAACTGTTTGTTGTGTTCAGATCAGTGACGTAATTTAATTTGATATCGACATATAACAAGAACTCTCACGTAACGAACGCTTTTGTAGTTCGCTCATCTGGAGTATGATGAAGATGGTAGTGCTGACATCACAAATCAGTACATGATACACTTAAATAAGATGGCCTACTATATAATGTTCTCAGTAAAAACCTTCAAGCATTCAATGGGTAAACATCTCAATCATTCACTCAGCTCCACCAATGTAGCATAACAATATGTCTTAAACACATATATAATCACGAATGCTATGCAACACCTAATAATACTAATCCATGCAAGTCACAGATGTAATCAATGAGTCTCTATTTGCGTCTCCATCTGTCTATATATGCTAAGATGACTGAAAATGGCTGGCTTTAAACTCATTTTTGCGCCGTTTCCTGCCATTTTTGCTTGATTAATAAGCGATGCATTTCTATACATACAGAGCAATATATAAACAAAGAGCAATATATATAAATAGATATACCACCAATAACCATTCCTTTAAAGACAGGAACCATAAGAACCAAGGATGAAAGTACCATTACAATGGTTGAAAATGTCTGTGTGGACTACTGTCGTGATCTTATCTATAAGTCTCTGTTTAGTGTATACTTTATCGAATAGTCCGTACTCGATCTCATTAGGGTTTACAAGAGAACCATGTATATATTCATGGCATAATATCCTGACAATCGAACCATTGAATGAATTACAAATGTATGTTGCGCCATGGTGTGCTTCGACCAAATCTATATGGATTACTCTATGGAATGAGATACATAAATGGTTAGAGGCAGTCCTATGTAAGATGGATTGTTGGTGTAAGAGGAATCATCATTGTACGAAATTACATTTAAAATTGGGACCTATCTCTAAGTTGTTTCAATGGTTTCAATTCTGTATACAGGATTTGACTTCTAAATTGGTAGGTACTAATGAAAATATTGATTGGATGACAGCAAATGGTACTTTTACTGTAAAGAGTGATACTGTCATGGATGATGATGATGATGAAGAAGAAGAAGGTACAAATGGGCCAAAATGGTTAGATCTATCTGTGATGGACGATGACCAAGATAATCTGGATGATATAGAATTAGAACTGACACGAGAGGTGAATGTCACTAGAGAGAAACATGTAATAGCGACGTTGCCATCCGAAATAGTCAGTCAGTTGTTATTATCTGATGATATGATACCTTCAAATCAAACCGACCTTGTTCAGAGAGAATTCAAAGCTTGGTCCAGGGCTATTACAACTAAATTACATGCTACTATTACAAACTTGCATAAGGATAACGATTTTTTAATCAATGACACCACGCATAATTATAACATTTCATATACAGCTGATTATGAAATATTATTCCAAGATATCGATACTCAATTGTCACAATTACGAAAAAATATAGATCACATCGATACATCTGCTACTCTTGATCCCGAGACAAATGAAATAGTGTATCTAAACCCTGAAAACACATATATCACAAGACCATACGTTGCTTCACGATTCAACAATATCAACCAACAATTGAAACAGCATCGTTTGGAGACATTAGCTAACTTACGCAAGTTACGTAAGTTAACTATATGGGAACTAGAGAAACAAAGAGAAGAACATGTCGAAGTATACGAAGAATGGGGGGACGTCATGGTTACTGAATGGTCCAAACGAATGGCCTACGGTGATGTTCATGGTGGCAACGACAATCGTTTCGAATTAGATAAATGGGGCCATTTCAAAAGACTCAGGGAAAGTATAATCTCGATGAGAGACAACCTGGCACAAGAACCGGTATTTCAGGACAACCTAGTCCATTACACGAGGGACACATTGGCTCAATTGAATCACAGACTCAACATATACCACACAAGAATAGCACAGCTCTTGCAACAGGCAAACAGCAACTTCGAGCAACGAGACCTCAGGGAACGTAATGTGGTCTCCAACCTGGCAGACACCATCACCAACGAACTGATCTAATCCCCAGTTACTCAATTCCAAATGCTGGACGAATCGGAATTATCGTACAGCAGCACGTGACCAGAGCACGTGACATATCCACCCACACACCCCACAGTTTCCTGCATCCACGCCGCCCGCCGTACGAAATGCCGCGACCCGGCAGACCACCCAAGATAAGAAGGAACGAGAAAAGCAAAAAAACAATTTTTTATCGCAGAAAATTTCAGCTGAAAATTTTTCGTTCTCGATGGGTTCGTATATTCATCATCAAGTTATATATATATAAATAAGCAAGCCAAACCAAAGGGATAAAAGATAGTCAGACCTCCCTTTCTAGTGTTTCTCGAGACTCTATATAGTTTTTAATAGTTTATAAATTTTATATCTTTCTTTTTAATAGTCAAAGAAATAAGCATCAAACAACAAGCTATATTTTTGTTCTCATTTAAAAATAACAAATTAAAATGTCTGCTCCAGCTCAAAACTACAAGATCGCTGATATCTCCCTAGCTGCCTTCGGTAGAAAGGAAATCGAATTGGCTGAACACGAAATGCCAGGTCTAATGGCTATCAGAAAGGCTTACGGTGCTGTCCAACCTTTAAAGGGTGCCAGAGTTGCTGGTTGTTTGCACATGACCATCCAAACTGCTGTCTTAATCGAGACTTTGGTTGCTCTAGGTGCTGAAGTTACCTGGTCCTCCTGTAACATTTACTCCACTCAAGACCACGCCGCTGCCGCTATTGCTGCCTCCGGTGTCCCAGTCTTTGCTTGGAAGGGTGAAACCGAAGAAGAATACGAATGGTGTATTGAACAACAATTGTATGCTTTCAAGGACGGTCAAAAATTGAACTTGATTCTAGATGATGGTGGTGATTTGACTTCTATCGTCACCAACAAGCACCCAGAAATGTTGGAAGGTTGTTACGGTCTATCTGAAGAAACCACTACTGGTGTTCACAACTTATACAAGATGGTCAAGGAAGGTACTTTGAAGGTCCCAGCCATCAACGTTAATGACTCTGTTACCAAGTCTAAGTTCGATAACTTGTACGGTTGTAGAGAATCTTTAATTGATGGTATTAAGAGAGCCACCGATGTCATGTTGGCTGGTAAGGTTGCTGTTGTCGCCGGTTACGGTGATGTCGGTAAAGGTTGTGCCGCTGCTCTAAGAGGTATGGGTGCTCGTGTTTTGATCACTGAAATTGATCCAATTAACGCTTTACAAGCCGCTATGGAAGGTTATCAAGTCGTCACTATGGAAGAAGCCTCCTCTCAAGGTCAAGTCTTTGTCACCACCACTGGTTGTAGAGACATTATCAACGCTGAACATTTCCTACAAATGCCAGAAGATGCCATTGTTTGTAACATTGGTCATTTCGACATCGAAATCGATGTCGCTTGGTTGAATGCTAACGCCAAGGAGTGTATTAACATCAAGCCTCAAGTCGACCGTTACTTGCTTTCCTCTGGTAGACACATCATCTTGTTGGCTGCTGGTAGATTAGTCAATTTGGGTTGTGCCACTGGTCACTCTTCTTTCGTCATGTCTTGTTCTTTCTCCAACCAAGTTCTAGCTCAAATCGCTTTGTTCAGAGCCGATGATGCTGAATTCAGAAACAAGCACATTGAATTCCAAAAGACTGGTCCATTCTCCGTCGGTGTCCATGTTCTACCAAAGATTCTAGATGAATCTGTCGCTAGATTCCATTTGGGTAACCTAGGTGTTCACTTGACTGAATTATCTACTGCTCAATCTGACTACTTAGCTCTATCTAAGCAAGGTCCATTCAAGGCTGACCACTACAGATATTAGACAACTAAAAAAATGTTATAATAATTTATGTTATACCTTTTTTACGTTGTTTTTTCTTAGTGACATTCATCAAAAATTCGATGTTTGCTTTTTGAAACTATTCACTCAACTGAATAGGTAAAAGAAGATAAATACATCACACATTTCATTACCCATTTTTTTATTCGATGCTTGTAACTATCTGGTAATGGTAAATATCTGTTACTAAAATCATTTCATTTCCTTTTATTTTCTGTTTATTATTATTCACGTTAACGCTTTTCCTGCATATTTTTACTTGTATATTCATAAAAGTATATTTTATTGGGATTAAAATAAAATTTTAAATATTTATATTTATATATATATATAATTTTTTAATAAAATATCTTCAACATGGTACCAAAAAACACGTAAATTATTATTATTAACTAATATTATTATTATTATTATGTACTGTTATTATTTAAATATCTCTAACAAAATGAGTGGGGCAAGCGTAACCTTCTGGGTTTCTGTCTAAGTATAGTTGGTGATACTCTTCAGCTTCATAGAAATTATTGATCAATTCAACAGTAGTAACAATTTTGTTATCCCATTTTGGTTGCCATTGTGCTTTTAATGCTTTAATTTCCACCAAATCCTCTGGAGAATGAGCATATATACCGCTTCTGTATTGAGTACCAACGTCTGGACCTTGGGAATTCACAGTTGTTGGATCGTGAATTCTAAAGAAGAAGTCCACAAGTTCTTTCAATGAAATCACAGTAGGATTATAAGATATTTGTAATACTTCAGCAAAATTTGTGTCACCTTTCTTCACTCTCTTGTAAGATATAGAATCACCTAAATCTTTCTTTTCGTCGTTGCCATTGGCAAAACCAACCTTACAATCGTTAATTTTATCGCCTAAATGTTTTCTGAAGACATGTTCGGTACCCCAGTAACAACCAGCAGCGACAGTCAACAACTTATCCGTGGAAGGGTTGAATTTAATGTTTTTAGCCAGTAAAGTAGCACTCATTTTTTATTTATAATAATATTGTGTATGTGTATTGTCTATTATATATCTAAAATATTCCTGTATCTAACTCAAGAAAACGAAACATAGATGATTATCTGCTGTGGTTAGATTTATCCTGCTTTATATATTAGAATGATCAACCTGGACCTTTAAGAGTTTCACACAGTTATGTGTGTCCTGTTTGTTACCCACAGTTTAACAGGTGTTTCTGTCAACATTTTTTGTCTCTCCCTTTCGCTTTCCCAACTCTTTCACTTCGTTCCTTTTTTTGCTCATCGCGATGTGCTTACATTACTCAACCATTGTTATACTCAGAAATAGGTCAAAAACTGTGGAATAACAAGTGGAACAAAAAGAACATAAGCAAGCCTGGAGATCGACGTCAGATACGTCCGATATATGAATCTTCTATAGAGGTAATCAGAAGTGTCCCATAGTTATAACTAACATCGTTACAAATTGAAGAGCAAATCGTCGCTTTCGTTGAAGACATCTTCATGTGTTCTATCCTGAGTAGAGTTATCATCATCCGATACTGTCGCCAATGTAGAGTCTGTATCATTTTCATTCATCTCTCTTACGACTTCATCCACTTCACTGTTTATATCATCCAAGATGGAACGTTTGGAAGAAGGGGATCCGAATGTATCTGTTCTTGCTAGGAATGGTACTTTCTTAGGTGATATAATTGTTCTTGTTGTTTTACGGTTAAACAGCTCGTTCAAAACGCCTGCGTCATATAAAACCTTTGGGGTTACCTTCCTTTCACGACTGCTTTCAGGAATAATATCTTGTAAATCATCACTAATTTCGATGGGTCTCGGAGTACCATTTGATAATTTATGTCTCTTCGAAGGAGAACTGGACATGGCACGATTTTCTATTGGAGTCTTTGGTATTATTGGTCTTTCTTCAAGAATGATAAGAGAATCATCCGTATCTTCTGCCTCTGAATGATTCATATTGTTCCTTTTTATTTGAGACGATTGGGTATTTGTAACCAGTTCTCCTTTTATATTTCCATCTACTTCGTCGTTCTCCACAAATAACCTTTTCTTAACGGTGTTTAATTGATTATTGGTCATAGATTGAGTGCCTACTACTGTTCCTGTAGTGTTTGACACTCGAGCAGAACTCTTCTTGAAGAAAGAATCTAAAGTTGTACTTTGTTTGTATTGATTTAAACGCTTCTTAGGGGACATATTTTTCTTCTTATTTTCTTTCTTTCTTTGTTCCTGTTCTATGCGTTTAGCCTCTCTATCTTGGAAATCTAAGACTAGAGGATGATCATCTGGTATACAGGTCTTTTCAATCCACACACCATATGGGAATTCTATGATATCTATCTGCCGTTTAGTGGGACTTCTTGTGGGGCTCTTTGTGGGGCTCTCTGTGGAACATTTCTTAGGTGATCGCACTGGACTTCTCGAAGGACTCCTTTTAGAGGGACTTTTATCAAAACCCATATATATTACACCTGGTAAAAATGAAGTGTAACGCACTTTCCAATGAGATATATCTCTGTTAATATTATTTACAAACACCGTTTTCTCCTCAGTAATTTTGACATTTTTCCTTAGTGTCTCACTATCACTTTCTTTATTGGAATAAAGCATGTACTTCACCAGGAACATCTCATGCATGGTGTTATGAAACCATCGATCGAAGTTGGTAATATTACCAAATTCATATTTTTCTAATATATCCTTCAATTCAAGAAAGTTGATCCTATCATATCCTTGACTGCTATGGATATTAGAGAAAGAAGGTTGGATAAGGGAATTATTAAAGCTCAGTCTCACACTGGGGTGAAAATAATGAAGTACTATATCAATTGAAGGCCAGCCCTCAAAATTATCTTTATCATTACTCAATAAACTCCCACCGTAATTTCTACCGAAGAGAGACTTCGTATTTTTCTGGCAGTACATATATACCATTTTTTGAAAAGATATATATTCAATTTATTTTTTGGATTTATTGGAATCATTGATATCATTAAATATATCATGGAATATTTCACCAAAATTGGGATTCCTAAGTTCAACGATCTTCAAACTTTTCACTTTCCCTAAACCTTTAACTCCAGTGTTGTAATCAGCACCTAATAAGATGCTATAAAGTAGTAATTGTTGTCTGTTCAGCATACGATGATTATCAACAAGATCCTTATAATCCACGAACGTTATGTAATTGCTCTTCTCTTTATCGAAATACTTATTATACTCAGATGTTAGCCCAACATCTTCGAATTGCCGAGAATAATTCTTCAACACCTTATTTCCTCCAAAGATGAAACAATCTGAATCATTACTCCAAATATAATCTACCTCTTTAAGATTCTGTTGCAGAAAACAACAGAAGGCCTCTCCTTCGCCTGTTGTAGTTATCCATGAGATGTTGAGGATATTAAGAATTTGATGAATTGCATTCATGATAGGATCGCCAACTTTATCAACCACTGTATCAGATAGTTCAAATTTATAATCTTGATCACTAGACTTTCCTGGCTTTGTTGTTCTTCTTATTTTCATGGGCTTGTCATTACCATCAAATACCAAAAGGAACCACAAATCTAATGCAACTAACTCTTTTAATCGATGTACCAAATTTTGTATCGGTTTGCTTAAGTCCTGTACATTCTCCGTCTTGTTAAAGAATCCACATTCAAATAATATATGATACGCATCTATTGCAATTCGCTTTCCAGGTAGTGCCACACCGACTGGATATCGTGGCGTCGGTTCTGGTTGGTGCTCTCTAATAAGTTCCCATATCTGCGGAACTCCCATTTTAACACATGTTATACTTTATCCTTATTGTACACGTGAATTCATGTTTTCATATTGGAAATATAGTACTCTTATCTTTCTGATTAATCAATAGAAAGTTATATTGAAAATAGGCATCGCTAAATCAAAAAAAAAAAAAAAAA